TCTTATTATATTCAATATTATTACGCATATTACGACTACTATCATTGCTGCAACTGCAATTATCCTTACAACTTCTATTAGTATCATCATTATTACGCATATTACTACTTTTATTAACATTATCCTTATTATTCTTGCTATTATCAATATTATTACGCATACTTCTACTTTTATTATCATTATCCTTATTATTCTTATTATTATCAATATTATTACGCATATTACTTCTATTATCATCGCTGGAACTGTAATTATCCTTACTACTCTAATTATTATCAATATTATTACGCATATTACTACTTTTATCATCATTATCATTATTATTCTTATTATTATCAATATTATTACGCATATTACTACTTTTATCATCATTATCATTATTATTCTTATTATTATCAATATTATTACGCATATTACTACTTTTATCATCATTATCATTATTATTCTTATTATTATCAATATTATTACGCATAGTATTATTATCAACATTATTACGCATATTACTACTTTTATTCACATTATCCTTATTATTTATGTTATTATCAATATTATTTCGCATATTACTACTTTTATCATAATTATCCTTCTTATTCTTATTATTATTCCTATTATTATGAGTTTTATTACGCATATTACGACCATTATCATCGCTTCAACTGTAATTATCCTTAGTACTCTTATTACTATAAATATTATTACGCATATTTCGATTATTATCATCGCTGGAACTGTAATTATCCTTAATACTCTTATTATTATCAATCTTACTACGCATATTACTACTTTTATTATCATTATCCTTATTACTCCTTATATTATCAATATTATTACGCATATTACTAGTTTTATCATCATTATCCTTATTATTCTTATTATTACCACTATTATTACGTATATTACAACTATTATCATCGCTGGAACTGTAATTATCCTTACTACTCATATTATTATCAACGTTATTGCGCATATTACTACTTTTATTAACATTAACCTTATTATTCCTATTATTATCAATATTATTACGCATATCACGACTATTATCATCG